GGCAGCATCGGCGACCGGAGGACCAAAACAAAACAAACAAAACACAAAGCCAGGCAGCAGTTTGAACCTCCCGCACCGAGGGAAAGGAGCCGTCTCCGGAAAAGTGAAGCCGGAAGTCCCGCCTCTTCCATTACAAAGCGCAGTACCGGAAAAAGACGAGTTTTTTCGGGCGGTCTCCACCTATTGGGTGTTCAGTCTCCGTGCGGAAGTGCTGAGATTCTGTCGCAATTAGGATTGTAGACCAGCCCTCTGCCCTACCAGGCAACACTAACACAAGGATAGGTGTTAGCGGAGTTTTAAAATTCTTTAAAAGTAATCGAAGACAGAAAACGTCTTCTAATTCTTAATTTATTGCCGTTAGACATGCCTACCAAGTCAGCAATGTACTCTGCGGATTAACCCAATTCATTGGCGGGTCAGGATGGGGCTTGGAAAATGACTGGAAAGACGAAATAATCGTTCGATTAGTTGTTGGTGTTCCTAAGCTAAAAATATAGCGATCAATGAGAGAATATAGTCTGAGAAAATATTTCCACTAAAATCTGAAGGTTAGAGTTTTGGGGTTTTTGTTTTTGAAACAGGGTCTGTGTAAACCTAGCTGTCCTGGAGCTCTGTAGACCAGGCTGGCGTCAAACTCTGAGATCTACCTGCCTCTACCTCCCTAGTGCTGGGATTAAAGACGTGTTCCACCACCTTCCTGGCTTTGCCAGGCTCAGAGCCCAACAGTAAGCCTCTTCTAATTTACTGCCAACAGAAATAATATGGCGTCCAGAATATAGACAGTGTCCACAAGACACTCTTGGTAGTCAAGCAGACCTCCTTGTGCTGCCATATTGCTCTCAGTATGACCATACGCTCAGAGTAAGGGTGGACAGATCTCTCCACAAGGACATTATCCATATGACCATACCTCCAGATCTGGAGTTTTAAATAGGTACTTGCTAAGTACAAGCAAAGGTCAAGGCTCTGTGTTACAACTCCAAGCTGTCCAAGGGAAGGATGATTTCTCTTTAAAGGGCATGATCAGGGAGGAAAGAGGCCTGAGGTTAATAGGGCCAGGTCATTATGGAGCCAGACTTGAAGAAACTTTCTGATTCTAAATTTAAAAGTCTCCAGGCAACTTTTTCTTTTAAAAAAGCTTTATTAGGAATACTTGTTTAGTACAAAAACTTTAAGCAAAGCTAGCAGCATCGAGAGATTGGGAAAACATATCTAACTCTTGAATTAACCATCATTCGAAAAAATACTGATATACAAACTGATCTCAATCTTAAGACATCTTTGGACAGATAACAGTCTTATTTCTTAATGACGTGTGACAGTACACACTATACATTGCATAGTTGTTTTCTATCTCCACCCTTTCCTCTCTAATGTTCGGGAACACAAATAAATTTCAGAGACATGGGATTTCATGTGTTGAAAGGTTACTGGAACTGCTGAATGGGTTGTGGGCAGCAAGGATAAACAAATAACTAGAGAACTCCTAGAATGTAGGTTCTCAGCGCTAAGAAGACAATAGCTCCAGCAGGAGATTTAATTATATTCTTGGGAATTACTGGAGTTCATTTGATGAAAATTTAAGATTTGATTGGAATTAGGAGATGCCCACCCGGAGATCAATGGCCATTATATGTTAACTTAAGATTTAAAAGAATGACCAAAGAAATGTGACATTAGAACATTAAGGGGGTCTGGGGAGATGGCTAAGAACACTGACTACTCTTCCGGAGAACCTGAATTCAATTTCCAGCACTCACACAGCAGCTCAAAACCTTCTGTTACTCCAGTTCCAGGGGGGACACTCTAATCTGGCCTGAGTACCAGGCACACATTGGTGCAGACACACATATAGGCAAAATGCCCACACATACAAAATAAAACAATTAAAAAAAAAAAAACTTAGGTAAAGTAGGAGATGCCCAGAAAAGTGTTTGCAGAAGAATATAAAGAGAAAGCAAATTATTCTTAGATGACTAGATGCTTTTAAAATGTTGGTGTCAGTATAAAGAAGGCAAGCTGATAACAGATTTATTAGCTTTAGTGAGGCAGGGGCCAGGAACGCTTTAGTGAGACTGCATATAGTGGGAAAGAAAACAATGACTTTGGTGCGCACTGTGCCTGATTTGGCTTCTCGTCATGTCTTCTTACAAGACTTTCAGAATCAAGCGATTACTGGCCAAGAAACAAAAGCAAAATCCTCCAATTCCTCAGTAGGTCTGGATGAAAACTGGTAACAAAATCAGGTACAATTCTAAGAGAAGACACTGGAGGAGAACGAAGCTGGGTCTGTAAGGATTTACACAGTGACAAGACTGAGGGTTTATACTGAACTATGGTCATCGGTCAGCCCTACCAGATGGATTTCAACATTTTTAACCTGGAGACTTGCTTGTGTCTAAATTAGGGTGTCTGTCCAGTAATAAAATTTAGAACCTTTAAAAAAAAAAAGAAAACAATGACTTTGAAGACCAATTAGAGCCAAGGAAATGGATAAATACGGGCTACTTGAGATGGCTGACTATAGGACTCTGGCACAAAGAAAATTAGAAAGCTAGATTTTTATTTTTATTTGGTAAGAATGGCATGGGAAAACAGCTCGTGGAGAAAAAAGGAGCCAGATTAGACAAACAACAAAAAGAGACTCCAGCAAGCCTTAAAGAATAGAATTCATGAAAGAGGAGGCAGGAAAATCTACTCGGATACTTCCTGTAGAGAAGATAAAGTCAATAGACAGATACGTTTGTGTACATTTGACTTCTAATGTTTTTCCCCTAAAACAAATGAGGTAATGAAAAGATTAAAGGAGGTAAGAACCAATTAAAAATGGACAGAGGGCCGGGCAGTGGTGGCGCTCGCCTTTAATCCCAGCACTGGGGAGGCAGAGGCAGGCGGATTTCCAAGTTCAAGCCCAGCCTGGTCTACAGAGTGAGTTCCAGGACAGCCAGGGTTACACAGAGAAACCCTGTCTCAAAAAAAAAAAAAAAAAAAAACACCCAAAAAAGCAAAAAACAAAAAACAAAAATAACCTTCCCCCAAAATGGACAGAGGGAGCACAATGATCACTAGCAGTACAGACAGCCTAAGTGGCAGCGGGGATTCTGAATTTACAATAGCACACATCTACTAGAAGCAAACCTAAGACTTCTGGCTGCACAGATGCAGCTGTGCTGCATTCACAGGGTTCAGTTTTGCTAAACCAACACAACAGGGCAGCAGCATACACAAGCTTAAATTATTTCCATCTGCTAAAGTCTAGTCAAAGACCACCAGGCTCAAGCCTGTTAGCTGGCAAGAGAGGAAGGGTATCCCCCACAAGGGGGGGATCTTTACTAAACTTAGAGTTTACTTAAACTTTGAGTGGCATCTTTACTGAACTTTGAGTTCCTGATGGAAGACTCTGGGGATGTCCTAACGGAAGGGGGAACAGTTCTGGGGAGATGCTGTTTCTGAAGCTGTATAAGCAGCAGAGTTTGACCCAGTTTAATTGATGAACAAAAGCAATGCCTGGGCAGAGCTGCTGGTAACAAGTCAATGGTTCCACAAGGTGAGTACCACAATGGCGTTTTAGAGCTGCTCTAAGACTTTGGATTAAAAACATGTTCTGTTAACTTTGCAGCTAGCTCTATGTGTGTCTGCCCTCAGGACCTGATAGGAAATGGACTTTTGTGTGAGCTGACTTTCAGCCATCAACAGGATTTTACCTATCAAATACCCTCCTCTCATTAAATGACAAAATCTTCTTTTTAATACGGGAAAAAAAAAAAACCCTACACTCATCTGTCCTCCTTGAAGGTAAGATTTAGTGGAATACTTACAGAATTACAGAAATTCTGTCTGATTTTAAATTCTAGCAACTCTTGTAGATAAACTCTATGGTCCTCCCAAAGTATACATTCTCCATCACTGTGACAAACCCAGCCTACTAAGATATTGTATGTTTTTGCCTACTAGCTAAGACTCAGTTGGAGTTGATGACCTGATTGCTTGATTAAGATCAATATTTGTTTTGTTGTTACAACTCAAGGCTGACAGTGACTGGCAGCAGGGCCGGGCACATGCTCATTGCACTGTTACTATTTCTGTAAGACATTCATATTTGGGCCTGGTGAAGGCATGCATTCTACAAGACAATGTGACACAGGACACACTCATTTAACATAATTACAAATTTACACCTTATGTATACATTCCTTAATGGCCACCTATCTGATATAGATTTAGTGACTCATTTAGAACCCAGAAAGTAAGTACTGCAGCACAGCTTCTGAGTGCAGTTTCTTCCTGTTCTGGTAAGCCCACTCTCAGAATCAGCCAAAATGCTGTGAGAGGGCCGATAGAAAAGCCGCCATCTGTAAAATGTCAACACTCTAGTCAACAGTTCGGGTCTAGGCGTAGCTGGGTCCTCTCACAGCCATTGTGTGAAGACTGCTCCTATGATGACTGTCCCCAGCTGCTCAAGCTATCACTAGCCCACTGTTTTTCCTACTAAGGTGGTTTTTAAGTCTAGTGCTAGGGATCCAACTTAGGCCTTCTGCATGCTAAGCAGATGAACTGCCACCAGACGACCAATGTATGTAGATTCTGTTGATAGCTACTTTTGAGTACAGTAATTAGTGACAATGAGGTGAGTGGTAAGATACTGGATGCTTATACAACTGACCAGACGTCTAAAATAGATGTAGCCCAGTACGTCTGTCATCTGTTCTAATGTGCTGTAACCCTCACGTTCCGAGACTGCAGGCTGTGCTGGTAGCCATCAAGTTATAGCACTCATTTAGAAAACGCAATCTTATGACGAATGCCAAACATACAGTTACTTTTAACATGGACTCTAAAAACTACTGTTATTTATTTTCTAGGTTCATTTATGTTTCTGAATTCAATTATTTTATTGGTATTGTAATTTCTCTAACTTTTAAACCTTTATTTCATGTAAGCAAGCTTAACAAAAAATTCTTTAAGATATCGTTTTAAAAAGTTAGAAGAAACAAACTAAGTTTTATTTTCAAATTCTAATTTTAATACAGACTGAACAAACAAACAAGCAGAAGTGGGAAAACTAAGTGTATAAGCAGACACAGATGTACCAAATGTAAAACAATGAGTTATTAACACAACTATTTACATGCGTATTTACAAGCAACCCTTTTATATATGTTTATTTTTAGTTAGTTGGAAAAAGATTTGACATTAGATAAAAACATTAAATAGGGCTGAGGTGGTACATTATAGTAAAAGTATTAGAAAAGTGATCCTCACAGTATATCAATTATAAAGCAGATGAAGACTTGAATGATAAATACCTAGTCAAATTCTCTAGTAAAAAGTTGATGCAACCCATGCAATGAAATCAAAATGAGTAAGCCATATAAAGAAAGCAGAGTAATACTGTAGAATGGCGGTAATGAAGTTAGTCAGGAGAAGCAAACAAAAAGCAAATCACTCTTGAATTGGAATAAATCCTCAGTGAAGAGTCTTGGTTCCTTAGCTGGTGTTCTAAGCCCCACTCACCCCACATTAATGACATTTAAAAGCCCTTTGTATCAAATAGCATCTACATATGTAAATAGGTTGTTTATATACTCCAAGACTTTGGTGCTAAAGATTTTCATGATTGTGATTAGTACTTGAAACTCAATATATAGAGAGTCAAATGCTAAACTAAAATAAAAGCTGTAATAATCATATCTAAAAAAGAATGCTACATTTTTTGCAGTAATATGTACTTCCAGGCTAAGACTTTTTAACCTCAAGAAAAAGTTGAACAATAAGCGTCTAACCAGCTAGCAAAATTTTCAACATTTCATTTATTTCAAAATCGATTTTATTGCAGCCAAAACAGTGAATTAACTGTACATAATAAAACTATTATATATATATACACATTTTAAGTTACAGGGAATAAAGTTTATTTTGGCAGGTAGTGTTAAACAAAATTAAAAGTTGCATACATTAGTAACAGAACTCAACATCCTTAATTTGGTATAAGTCTGACACAGTTCCTTGCTTTCCTGTGTTCGGCTAAATCAGCATACCTAAACTTTAAAAAAAAAAAACTGATATCCTCAAACTTTACTGTTTTCGCTTGCGCTCTGATTCCAAACAAAACTTTTCATAAGCTTCTTCAATCTCTGGGTCCATCTCATCATCGATATCATCCAAATATCTATAAAAAAGAAGCCAAAAATGATTCATATACCTTGCTGTTTTTCAAAATCAAAAAATGTCTGGAGGTGTTAAATGCACTTTCCTAAACAGAATTTTGTTATATTTTTAGATATGGGCACTTAAAAGTTAATAAAAGGCTTGACATACATAAGTTCACATCTTATTAAGAGACACTTTAATTAGAATAATTTCAAATTTACCTATGACTTTTTTATTATTCCACTCAAAAAGTTTTATCCTTCCAGTGGCTATGTCTAATTAACATCAAAATCTATTTCTGACATGATTTCTGCAAGGCTATTTCTCACAAAGAAAGGTCACATTCCCACGTATTTGAAACCAGACTTGTGTAACAGAAAGCTACTTTTGAGACTGTATTATCCAGGTGGCCCTGTTCCCAAATTCCAGGATTTTAAAATGATACAAAGCATTGCAGCATAGTGGTACACTGTTGTAATCCCAGCACTCAGAGGTGTCTACGTGGAAGTCAGAGGTCAACTTTGTGAAATCAGTTTTCTATATCCACCTGACATGGGAGTTCCAGAAAGCAAACACAGGTCATCAGGCTTGGGAAGCACGTGTTTCTGCCAACTGAGCTATCTTCTGATCTCCAAATGCCATTTTTTAAATAATTTTTCTTCTAGCTTAGTTTATATTCAAAACTTGGGCACAAACCCTTCATTTAAAAACTGAGCAATAAGGGGCTGAGAGGGATGGTTCAGAGTAGAGCAGCTGCTATGAAGCACGGAGACCTGAGTTTAGCTCCCCAGCACCCAACTAAAAAGCTGAGTCTAACTCAGTGACTGTAACCCCAGATCTGGGGAGAAGAGACAGGCATATTCCTGCAGGTTAGCCAACCTAAGTGAAATCAGTTACCTCCTAGTTTAGTAAGAGAGCCTGACTCAACATAATGTGGACAGTGACTAACAGAGAGCTGACACCAGCCAATCACTCCCACATGACGTACACATGTACATTAAGAACACACACACAGACAGACACACAGACACACACACACACTAAAACTAACAGTAATGAAAGAGTACTTACGGGTCACCAGCCCCTGATAAATCTGTTCCATTTTCTTCATAATCTGGAAAAAAGTCCTCTCTTTCAAGTAACTCTTGATACTTTTCTTGGTAATCTATAAGACAACACAGAAAACAAAAGAGCAGACAATCTTATAAAATGGGCAGTTTTTAGCCCTATAAACTTAATGACTTTATAATAGTAAAAATTTAATAAATGCTTTCATGAAACCTATTTTCTTAATTGGCCTGCCTTTGTTTCACTGCATGCTCACAAACCCTAAAATATTTTTACATACTAGCCTTTTAAATGTTAAGTACATTCTACAGTTGGTTACTAAAGAGTAAACCTAAGGTCTCCCTTATGGCATATAATCTACGACTGAACAAACAACTCCCAAACTATCTCTTTTTAACTTGTTTGAGAGGGCTATATAGCTCTGGCTGTCCTGGAATTTCCTATATAGATCAAATGGGCCTCAAGTTCACAGAGACACTGCAGGCTTTGCCTTCCAATTGCTGGGATTAAAGGCATGTGCCACCACACCAGGTTCTTTTGCACTTTTTATCGTATTTTTATTTGTTTGTTTTTGGTGTTTTTCAGACAGTGTCTCTTTATGTGGCCTAGGCTGCCAGACTGTTGAGGAACTCACTATGCCAACTAGGCCAGCCTTAAACTCCTGGTTCAAGATTCTCCTGCTACTAATCTCCTAGCTACCCTCAAGTGCTCAATGCTGGGATTAAAGGTATTTGCCACTACTCCTGGCTTAATTTTTATCTTGAGTGAGGATCTTACTAAGTTGCCCAGGCCTGTCTTTTAAATCTCCTGACTCTACAGAGTAACTGCTAGGATTACTGGCTTGCACCACACAGACTAATCGCCGTTCTTGTTTTGAAAGGTTGTTACATCACTGGGTTATGGCCAGGTTTTTCCAAGACTGTCTTTATAAAACTCTAACTCAACATCAGGAGCTGGTGCCATTCCAATTTTGACAGATTAGAGAAAATTTAAGCATAACAATTTCCTGCCATAAATCCTTGAGATAAGATATAAGATATTCTTTTTAATGTATCAATGAAGGCCAACAAGGAACTCCAGATCATGCACATACATGACAGCTTAGAGGCTCAGAGGGCGCCAGTTTCAGCCGCCAAGGAGTCTGGCATTTAAACACAGAGCATTCAAGGCCCTGGGTCTGTGCAGAACAGAAAGACAGGACTCATATACCTATATCTCATCATTCCTAAACGTCTAAGGGTTGCCATCTTACAAGGAAGGACCTGGAGAAGCAACAAACAAACAAACAAACAGACAAACACCTCAGTGGCAAACAAAATTTTGTTTTATATTTGGGTTTGGAATGAGCTAGGCACTCTGGAGAAACTGTTTATTCAGAGTTTGTAACAACAGAATTGACTTTGAATTTCTACTTTCCATATAAAGCAGCCTCAAGACAAAAACCAAACACCAAAAAACCAAAAACCATCCAACCTTTTCCAAGTTAGTGACATACCTGCAGTGCCTGCCAAAAGCAAACACAAAACTATTTTGGGTAGAGGTCCTAAAACCAAAGGGACAACAAGTTTTTAATCAAGAAAACAAAAGGTCAAACCACCACTGCATTCATACTGAAGCAGGTAGTAAGCCAAATGGTTACGAAAACAAAATGTGTGGCGACAGCAAAAAAAAGACAAGCCGAGTAAATCAGTTCCCAACACACATCTGGGAAAAGACCAGTCTTTGTGCAATTCTCTTTCATTACTGTTGTATAATTCTGAAGTAATTTCTGAACAGAGGTTTAAGAAAAACAAAGACTATGTATAGAATCATGAGAGAAAGGATTTGAAACTTTGAAAAAAAATCAGCCTGAGAAAACAAAAGTGAATCTCTATAAAAGTATGAACAAATTGGACAAGATAGACACCAAAGAATCAAATGAAGGAGGATAACTCTGGAAAAATCCGAGAAGTAGGAAGCTTTTTTAAATTGTCCTGTGAGAGGTGGTCTTCCTATGTTGCCTAGACAGGTTTCAAACTCCTGGGTTCAGTCTTCTACCTCAACTTCCTGGTTTGGCCTTCATGCTGCTCAAACTGTATTGGCCAGTTTTAAGAGATTTGTCTTACCAGAAACAGTATGATTTACATAAGAAGAGTTAAGAATGGGTTATTGGTGAAGAAAGACAAATATACTAACAAAGAATCCACAAGAATGAATAGTATTCAGAATACTATAAGCAACTTATTATAATGAAGAGAGAAAAAAAGTTAATACCTGATGTTGAGACAATACAGTGGAAAAATATTTAATACCTACTCTATTCTTCATGTAAAAATTAGGTGGGTTAAAGGTTTAAGTAGGAAAAACAGCAAGTATGATTTTTTAGAAGATAATGAAAATGTAATTAAGTAAAAATCAGTAAAAACAAGGCTGATAAAACTCAAAGCATGTATATGAAAATATATCATATACGAAATGAAAAGATAGCCACATAGTACAAAGGGATGAACCCATACCTGACCAAGATCATCTTTTTCTAGACTTTGTAAGGAATCACACACAATAAGTAAGACAAATGACCCAACAGAAATAAGGGAAAAAGTCAATCAACAGACAATTTTCAAATGAAGACAAAACAAAACAAAGGTTTATACCTAGGAAGAAGTTCAGTATTAGAGTCATGAAAATAACTATATCCAATTTCATAGAATTTGACTGATAGAAGTTATGTCTAATAAGTGTTGCCAAGAATGAAAAACCAAAGTCCTCTACGGGTTGGAAAACTAACTGGAATGATCACGCTGAAAAGCTGTCCAGCAGCACCGCCCGACTTACTGAGGTTGACGATTCTCAGACCTGTAACTTAGTTCTACTTCCTCATCCTAAAGAGGATGCCAAAAGCATGCGATAGTCAATGCTTGTTACTTACAGGAAACAACTGGAAAAATCCCTATTGTAGCTGGCAGTAGATTGTACTACATCAGAACTCTCAGATTACAGTCCCACCTGTCACACTACTGCATTTTCTATAAATAACCCTTTACTGGAAGGTGTGCAGAGATTTAGATTTTAATTAACTCTGAATTGTAGATACTAATGTAATCTGTAAGTATTAACATTAAAATAAGCTGCTGACTATTCAGTCAACTAGAATCATCTTTGCCTTCTATCCTAATCATCTGAAAATTTAAGATGAAAACAAACACTAAGAAAAGTACAAAATAAAAATGTCCGCACTTAATGGAGGGGTGAAATCTTTGACAGGGAAAGTAACAAGGCCCTATAAACTAATTACTTAAACGGTCCCTAGTAATCAACAGAACAAATTGTAACCCTACAATTTTAGAATATATGAAACCCACCATGAAAACCCACCATGTACTGCCAAGGACTGGTTTTATGTAATTTACCACTTAAGAAAAATGGGAAAGTGACTGAGACAACATACCTGGGTCAGCTGCAGTGAAAGGAACACCATCAGAGGTATAAAATGTTGGTTCATTCTAGGATGAATCAAAATGATAATAGGTACTCATTTCAAAGTACATTAGAGTAATATAGCCCCTAACTTCCCAACAGCCCATACACTTCACTGGGCATACATATGGTTCTTAGATTTCCATTTGTCATGTCACTCTCTTGTAGTCGTAGGCCTCATTGTTGTGTTTGATCCATCCCTGGCTGGACTGTGACTTAATGTTGACTTAGTTTAGTTTTATTTTCTTAATATCCTGCCATTTTTAAAGAGTTCACAAGATTGGGGTTGAGTATTCCTCTGTAGCTGCTTTGTATTGGGTAGTGTCAGAAGGTACTCGGTACAGAACACCTGAGATACAGGAATTTGGTCATAATGCGGACTAAAGCCCAAAGCATTATCACTATTCCTTGACAATGGATGAATCTTGATTTAGTCTCTTTTTCACTAGAGGGTCTCTCTTTATTTATATGAACTGCTGGCTCCTATGGCAATAAAAAATTTAATGGGCACTGGATTATGAGAATAGCTTTATATATAATTCAAACAGTTTCCAAAACAGAATTTATCATGTGGTTTCAACAAGAAGGGGCCCCACAGGCTCATGTGCTTGAATACTTGGTTGCCAGTTGGTGGAACTGTTTGGGAAGGATTAAGAGGTATGGTCTTGTTGGAGGAGGTTATCACTAGGGGCAGGACGTGAGATTCCAAAAGACTCTCAAGCTATCATTCCCAATGGGCTCTGCCTTCTGCATGTGAATTGAGATATAAGCTCCCAGCTGTTCCTGCCTGTGTCTTTGCTCTATCATAGACTCTAACCCTCTGGAACTATAGGTCAAATTAAATGATTTTTTTAAAGTTGCCTTGGCCATAGTGTTTTATGACAGTTATAGAAAAGTAAACTAAAACAAAGCATTAAATGAAACTTAAAATGTGAACCCTGGCATACCATGAAATAGTTAGGGTCATTTTCAGGGGTCGCCTCTCTGTATGTTGACGTTGCATGGACCCGGCCCCAGTTACTCGATCGAAGTTCAACAAGCTTCAGGAGCATCTGTTTTACATCTCTACAGATAAAAAGGTTTTAAAAAATTAATATGCATCTACTACAAATACTGTCAGGCTCTATAATATTCCCAGTGACTTAAAATGCTCAATTTATTTAACATAGGTACCCAATGCTTTAAATTTCTAGACATTTTCTTTTTTTTTTTTTTTTTTTTTTTTTGGTTTTTCGAGACAGGGTTTCTCTGTGTAGCCCTGGCTGTCCTGGAACTCACTCTGTAGACCAGGCTGGCGTCGAACTCAGAAATCCGCCTGCCTCTGCCTCCCAAGTGCTGGGATTAAAGGCGTGCACCACCACCGCCCGGCTAGACATTTTCAATGACATAATTCACTGTATTATTTTTATTTAAAAAAAAACTTGAAGCTGGCCAGCCCTTGTGACACACTCCTTCAATCTCAGCAAGGTAATGTGTGTTTGAGGCCACTCTGGCCTACTTAGTAAGTTAAAGGAGAGCCAGAACTATATAGTAAGACCCTGTCTTAAAAAACAAAAAACAAAAAAGGCAAACAAAACAATACTTTTGAAATCCACTCCACTTTACCAACTATATGGTCATGAATTACACTGGATTACACTGGTCTGTTATATTACTTATGGTAGTGTCCACTGCATAAACACTGGGTCCATGTTTAAAATCTAAATAATTTTCTTTCTCAACAAATTCATCATATTTTACCACAAAAAAATCTTAAGTTTTCAGTTTTAATTATAGCTGAACAAAATTTACTAGAGTGAGAAACCATAGACAAAATACTGGATTGATTTATAAACCTTAATTACTCTCTGAAGTATACAGATTTAAATAAACATTAAGAAAATAATAGAAGATCTACTTGCTTCTTTTCCTACCTGCTGCAGTTTGCATCTAGGACAACATTTTCAATTCTCTGAATTATTTCTTCCATATCAGTTTTCCCCTTTTCCTTCCAAGTATCTTCTAAAACTGACCCTGTCAACTAAAAGCACAGATGTCAATAAAATCAGGAATACAGTAAAGGAGAAAATTTTAAAATATATTAGTAAAAGCTGGAACTTAAAAAAAAAAAAAGAATTGAATGGTTTGGTATTTCCAATTATTCTCTCCCTACTGACTATATTCAGGAACCTCTACATCACCTCTGCTTTTCTCTGACTAATTAGAAAATGAAAGTATTAGGCTTCACATCCATAATTATTATCCAATGTTTCCTATTAAGACTGGCCATTTAAGTCTGACTACCTCTTTTTAAAATATAATTAACAGTAGAGTGTGACCTAAAAGTTGTAAATTGAAACACACACCTCACCCCCCCCCCCAATCAACAGCTGACTGAGGTGGTACACACCTTTAATCCCAACACTTTGGAAGAAGAGGCAGATGGATCTCTGTGGGTTTGAAGGCTAGCTTGATATACAGAGCTATTTCAGGACAGCCAGATCTACATAGTGATAACTTCTCAACACACACACACACACACACACACACACTCACACACACACAGAGTAAATGTTTAAAAACTTAAGGATTAAAAACAGGCCATTCACAAAAACAATCAAATGGCTTATAAGCATGAAGGACTGCTTAATTTGATTATTGATTAGATGACTTCAAATTATAGTGAGGGTTTTTTTTATTATTATTATTCATTCAAGACAAACCCAACTGATCAGATTGCTCCCTGGAAGATAGAGAAAGGTGTACTAATTCATTACTAGAGAGAGTATACTGCAGCTCATCAAACTTTGATGTTAACTGTTGATATAAAACACCTATGCCCATCGACCCTTTGAATCTGTTCACAACTTTAAAAGGTATCTGTAAAGAGATAATGAAAGACTACTAGCAATGCTCTAATAGCCAAATGGAAAACAGCCCAGATTTTTATTTAAATAATGGATGAACAATGTATATAAATTCAATAGAATACTAAGAAGTTACTCAATATAGAGCTAAATCTCTCTGGAGGGATTAAGATATTTCATCTGGGAGCCAAAAAAATAAAAAAGCTGAAATAGATTAAGAACATTTTTGTAAAGGGAAGGGAGTTTACAACTGGGTTGGGGTGAAGGATTTCCATTTTTCCTCCTAATTTGAATCCTTATATACACACTATATTGCATTGTTTCTAACTCATTTGAAAGTCAAATGTAAGACAACAATTGTGTAACTTTAAAAACTTAATCTTGAATTTGTGTACTACACACACTTTCCTTCTTCTAAATTATGTATCAAATGGGTAATTACAATTAAAGAGTATAAGCTGGTAAGATGGCTCAGCTGGTAAAGTTGAATTCCTAGAATCTAAAAGGTACAAAGAAAAACCCTCAAGCTGCCTTCTGACTACACAATAAATGTTTAAAAGAAAAAAAAAATTAAAGAAAAATAAAATAAAAACCAACCTTTAGCAATTTTACTGCACAAATTAAGTTGTCATCCATAGGATTAGAGAACAGAGCATTCAGCAGTTCCCGAAGACCAACCTGAAGAATATCTGCTCTTGTAACCTGTCCATTCGTTCCTTTAATCTTTAAGAGAAAAAAACAATTAAAGCCACAATACTAAAATACTAAAATGTGATATAGACAAATAAAAATAGCCTACGAAAGGTTGCAAAAATAAGTATTTGGGTTAAATATAAAAATCACAGGAATGTACTGTATTAACTTCATCAAATTAATTACAACTGTTCTCTACATAATTAAGACCTCTAATAAAACTGCAAATTACAGGTAAAATTTAAATTTTTGCTGGGCAATGGTGGCCCATGCCTTTAATCCCAGCACTTGGGAGGCAGAGGCAGGCTGATTTCTGAGTTCGAGGCCAGCCTGGTCTACAGAGTGAGCTCCGGGACAGCCAGGACTACACAGAGAAACCTGTCTCAAAACCCTCCCCACCAAAAAATTTAATTTTTACTCATCACACATAAAACATAAAAATATAAGTCTACTTCAATACTGCTGCTTCATCTAACATGCTGTAATTTAGGCTACCATTTAAATACTATTTAAGCTTTTTCAAATGTGTTTGGCTGTTTTGCCTAAAGGATTTCTGTGCATAATGTACATGCCTCCTGCTCATGGAAGCCAGGAGGGAGTTGGATCCTACAGAACTGGACAGACAGACATTTGTGAGCCACCAACTGGGTGCTGGGAATCAAACCCTGGTCCAATGGAAAAGCAGCCAATGCTCTGAACCACTACGCTATTTTTCCAGCCCCAAAGTACCACATTTTAATAACAAAGTATTCTATTTTGCTTTATATACAAGTTAAAAATACCCCCCTTTTTATACTAGACTATTTCGCCTGCTAGAGAAAGATATGTGTAGGACCAATGCTTTGCCTTCATACTCCCCAGAGAACTAGCAGAATTATTTTCACATTGGAGTGGCTTTTTTCTTTTTGTTTAAGACGAGGTTTCTCTGTATACCCCTGGGTGTCCTAGAACTCACTCTGTAGACCAGGCTGGCCTGGAACTCATAGAGATCCACCTGCCTCTGCCTCTTGAGTGCTGGGATTAAATGTGTGCACCACTACCACCCAGCTCTGAGTGGTATTCTTTTCTCTTTTTTCCTATTTATTTTACATCCAATTGCAACCTCCCTCCTCCCCCATGCCAGGGGTACCAACCCACCCATTTGGCACATTAGGTCCCAGGAATAGGCACACCTCCAAGTGGCATTTTAACATGACTTCATAAAACAAAGAAAGATTTATTTTTATTTGCTGTGCATGGGTTTTTGCCTACATGCATGTATGTGCATTGTGTGTGGTGCCCAGAGGCCTGAAAAGAGTATTCAATTCCCTGGAACTAGAGATGCAGACAGTTGTGAGCCATCTGCATAGTGGCTCTGAGTCTTCCAACAGAGTAGTACCTATCTTTACAGCTCCCTTAACGTGACTTAATTTAAGGCACATTTAAACTGGTGTTCTTATTTATCTTACAAACAAATGAAACTGAAAAAGGAACACACTAAGACTTCTAAAAAGTTATTCTCTTCTGGTTAGAACAGCCCAGCATGGAAGCTGTTTGTGGGGCCCAGGCTGTCACTCCAGCACTTGGGAGGCTACAGGAGGAGGAATTCGACAAGGGTGATGCCAGCCTAGCTGACAAGTTAGCTTCCTGAGCACATAAGGGCTTTTAAAAGTTCAGTTATTATTTTGTAACATCCTGCTCACGGGCAGAGAAAATGTTATCAGTGTTCCACTCAAATACAATTTAAGTATGAAAAGATTTGCTTTCTCTCCTATTTCTCTCCCTTCACTTTTGTTTAACTTTGACAGGGTCTCACTATGTAACCTAGGCTAGCCTAAAACTCAAGATTCCTCCTAAGTGCCAGGATCGAAAGCAGTTATCACCTGGTATCATTGCATTAGTTTTTCGCCATTTTTGATGTTGCAAAGTTAACATGAACAAAATTCCTTCCTGGAAGCATTTTATGTGTTCGAGCCTTAAGTTCTAATAAGAAATGCTCTCACCTCCAGGTTAAGATATAGTTCTCCCAGAAACAGAACAAATGCATGAAATCGTTTTCGAGTTGCTTCGTCCCCTTTTGCAGCTTGGTCTTTAGCTTCGTACTCCGTCCGGCACCTAATGAAGACATTATCTTTTATTACCTCACGTTGTTTTGTCTCTTCAACAGTGAACAAGCTGGTGCATGTCAATCTGTTTACCCACAGCAATAAAGGCAATGACTCCCCTGACCTCTCCAAAGGCTGCAGTTTTAAGAAGTACAATGACACGATTGGATTTTTGCAATAATAATAAAGATTTCACAAGGTTCAGAACATTCTAGTACTAAAAAAGGAAGAAAAAAATATGTCTAATAGGTCTTTTTACTAAGGAAGAACTGAAGTGTTCCAATTTTTTTTTTTTTAAATAAGAAAGTATGTGTATATCTAGTTCAGCTGAAGGGTGAAAATGGAATTCTTAAGGTTTTTCTTTCTTTCTTTTTTGGTTACATGAAGAGTCTGAATCTGGGCCTTGGGTGCATGAGGCAAGGCAACAATAAGCTGTCTCCCCACCCCTTTTTAATATATTTTTTTAAGATAGGTTTTTTGCTAAGTTGTCCAGGTTGGCCTTGAACTTAGCATGCCACTTACAAGAGCCCTCAACTGACAACCTTCCTGCTCCACCTTCCCAGGACCTGGGATTAGATTTTGCACTACCACATCCAACTAAATTTCTCTTATACTTCCCATTATATATATCAGGTTATACTGAGGGTAAAAATAACTAACTAAATAAACCAACAGACTCTCACCAGTAGAAACCACAAGTCCAAAGCAATTAATTTGTCTCTATTTCCAACAGAGACTGAAGGAGTCAAATAACTGATTGTCTCTTACTCCCCTCACTGGGTCCACGTGCCTCATCTAGTGATGAGCAGAAACCCTGGAGTTTTATTCACTCACAGTTCCAAAGCATCTAAACTAATACCAATCCACCTACCACAGAGTCTAGAGGGAACTATAGTGTTGGCTACTATTACTAAAATGGATGTTTTTAAAAGATTTTCATTTTGGCGTTTTTTTTTTTTTTTTCTTTTTAAATTGGTGAAGTAGTAAGAAATGTCTGCAGAAGTATTTTGTTTTATAAAACTGATGTTACTAATTCTCTTTTTAGAAAGGACAAAGGAGGAGTCTGGAAAGACGGAGCAGTTAAGAGCTTTTGTAGACTGAATATTTTCCAAATAGCCAGCTTATGATAGTTCCTTTTTAAAAATTTCTTCCTTATCTTTTTTTAGATAATGAAATCCTCTATTTCCCAAACACTTACTGGGCAGTGTGAAAGGACAAGAAACTTACAATTCTAATTATCACAAGCTATAGCCTAATGAACACTGTCTTTTTGAGTCAAATGCAGTAAGAGCTGTTACCTTCTCAAATATATTAAAGGAATTTCTCATCAGAAGACACACATAGAAAGGACTAACATAAAAGGGCTATGTAAATCAATGGCAATTCAACTATCTTAAACTTTTTTCTATTCTTTCCTATTTTGTAGTTAAATTTTGGTAAAACAGATATTTTTTCTTTTATAAATTTCTAAGACCATGAGCTATTAAGATGCATCCTTACTCCCACAAATGGAGGATGTCCCAGGTCAAACACCCTAAGTCTCTAAAAGCTAACTGTTTTCAATAAGAACCTGTGGTTATTTCACAAAGGTGAAAAAACAAAGACCAGATTTTTCCCAGTACCACTGTAACTTTACTTTTCCCTTTTCAAACTACTAAGGCACATTCTTTTAAGGGCAGCCTTGTGCTCTGTTTCCCATTCCTATTATCAGCACTTTTAAAATCAGTGTCTTTGATAGTATTACAGTACTGTAGGAGTTCACAACTGGAAAGAAAACAAAAACAGTGAGAAATGTACTGAGGTGGCCTTTCTGGCATCATACCCTGCTTCTAATTCCACATTCTCTGTCCAGATACCATAGTTTGTACTTAATTACAGTAGTTTTTAAAAATACATGTAACTTTGCCATTTTTATTTTTCCAAACTGTATTTATCAAGAGCTATTTTAAATTTTTTCTTAAAAATTTACTATTTCTATGAATATGGGTGGTTTTGCCTGCATGTGTGTGTACCATGCACATGCACTGCTCACAGAAGAAGAGTGCCAGAAGAGTTACAGATGGCTGTGAGCTGCATGTGGTGCTGGGAATCAAACCCAGGTCCTCAGAGGAGCAGCCAGACACTCTCGTCACTGCTCAGCCAGATCTCCAGCCCCACTAGGCTTTCCTTACTCAGTCCTAGAGATCTCCTTTACTAATGCATAAAATTTCTCATTTTACTTTATATAAATTTTGACTTCCCCAAATGTAATTTATATTTAACTAATTTTCTAAATCTAAGTTTGTGGTCTATGGGTACAAAGTCTTGCTTAAAATAGTTTTGACAACCCAAGATTTGTTTACTTGTTAAGTACTTCCCCTAGCTGTCTTATTCTAGTCTGATATACTAATCTGGCATAGGACAAGAACTTATCTCTCCTTTTTCTATTTCTATAAATGACTATTGAGCTGCTAGCACAATTCATCTTTTAGAAGTGTATTTGAAATACCACCTTTATCAATGCTTTAACTTTTACACTTTTAAAAAATAAAATATAATTACATCATTTATTTCTCCCCTTTTCTCTCCTCCCATGAACTCTTTCCTCCTTCAAATACATGGTCTCTAGCCTCTTATTTTTAACTGTTGTTACCTCTGTGTGTGTGTGTGTGTGTGTGTGTGTGTGTGTGTGTGTGTGTGCATGTGTATTCTGCTCAGTCCATACAATGTTATTTGTATGCATATGGTATCAGGGCTGATCACTTGGTATTAACTAGATAACCAATGGGCTCTTCCCTAGGTGTGCAAATAGTTTTATGTCAACTTGACACATGCTAGAGTTACTTGAAAGGAGGGAACTACAATTGAGGAAATGTCTCCATAAGATCCAGCTGTAGAGCATTTTTTTAACTAGTCATTGATATGGGAGGGCTCAGCCCATTGTGGGTGGTGCCATCCCTGAGGGAGGTAGGGATCTCTGGCGTTCCATAAGCTTGCTGGGCAAGTCTACCTCCAGGTTTCTGCCCTATTTTGAGTTCCTGTAGTCTGACTTCCTTTGATGCTGAAAATTTATGTGAAAGCATAAGCCAAATAAACCCTTTCCTCCTCAAGTTGCTTTAGCCATGGTGTTTCATCACAGTAACAGAAGCCCTAACTAAGACAACAGAGATGATTATTTTTTCCTACTCAAGAATTCCTTAGTTGTCTGCAGTTCTTTGTCTAGGGTTGGGAACCTGTGAGGTTTCCTTTTCCATGTAAGCTAGGTTCTATCTTTAGAATTCTTATTCAGAAATATTTTATAACCCTTGTTATTATTACTGTTATTGTTGTTGTTATTATTTTGGCATGTTGTATGTCTGTGCACACATGCAGGCATGTCCAGTAGAAACTGAACTCAGGACTTCGCACTCTAGTCCTGAACTACAGCTCTAGCCTTCCATTAGATATTTAAAGAATTAGGCAACAGGTGATAATAAACTTTTTTTAGAAAAAGATTTATTTATTTAATGTATGTGAGTGCACTGTTGCTCTCTTCAAACACACCAGAAGAGGGTATTGGACCCCATTACAGATGGTCATGAGCTACCATGTGGTTGCTGGGAATTGAATTCAGGACCTCTGGAAGAGCAGTCAGTGTTCTTAACCACTGCGCCATCTCTCTAAGCCCTGATAATAAACTTATTAAACATGAAAATAATCTTATTGCTAAGGATCACTCAAAATGATAATTTTTTTTTTTAAGTTTTATTTTATTTTTTTGAGGAAGGAGATTTCACTCTGCAGCCTAGGCTGGAGTGCAATTTAGTCTGTATCTCAGGCTAGCCTTGAAGTTAAAGCAATCCTGGCTCAGGTATGAACTACCACACACACTTTTAAGAAAATTAGTTTTCTCTTGTACTTCCAAATCAATGCCACCTCTTAAATCTGTAATAAATACCAACACTGTTTGTGTAATTCAAGCACTAATTCTACACTGTAACAAGGTGTACAGCAAAGAAGATTCCACAAGAACTGAGAACTATTTAGACCAGATAATTAAAATTTTAGAGTTCTTAAAGCTATTATACAGCAATTAGAAAGACAAGACCAAGTGACAGATGGAACATAATGAGAAGTGTAGACTTAAAGCCCAAGTTTAATAATGCAGTGTGACGCAAGTAGGAGTTCAAATCAATCAAGAAAAAACAAATTACTCATTTTTATCTAACTTAAATTCTCAAACCAAAATTATGGAAGTACCTAAGAGCACATCAGTAATCATTTTTATGATTCTGGGAAATGCATTCCTAAATCCAAAACCATAGGAAAAACTAACATATTTGACTGTAAGGTTTAAATAGTTTAGAAATGAGTCTGGTTTGCCTACATCCCCTAGAACTCTCTATATTATAAGGTCTTGAGAAAACATCAATGGTCAAATTCTATTATGTGTAATTTATGTTCACACTGACCTTTGAAGTAGCAATTGGCGGAAGTTGCCACTCTGTGGGCTAATTGTCAGATGATGGGACAGGTAATTACACAGGCGAGCTCCCATGTAAGAGAAATTTGGGATAGACGTAGCCTTTTAAAAAGAAAAATTTTGTATGACACAAATACATTATCATCAACTCAAACACTTAGCAATATTTTATGGAGGAAACCATTTTGGCTACCAAAATTAACTATATAGTTAAAAAAAAAATAAGGGTTGTTAGGCATAAGGAAATTAATTCTCCCATGTAGCCTTATACTAAGAATCACAGTACAAAGAAAGATGTTTAAGGCAACTTCTCCGATTCCTCATTTACCTGAGGTCCCTGAGGTTACCAGAAAACAATTAGAAAATGTCTTGATATTAACCCATTTTTGCTGAAAATACAGACATGTAGACAGCTGCTTGGTAACAATTATGAAAGATGAGAAAGAGAAACCAAACTATTGATCAGTGTTGCTCTTCAGGAAAAGAACACACACTTTGGGACCTACCAAGTCCACAAGACACCCAAGTTTTCTGGTTTGTGACACTGGCCACTACTAAAAATTCCCTAAGCTTCAGTATGACACACAAAAGTGATTAACAGCACCTGACATGACATCTCAAAACACTTGGAATAAAAAGAAAATCAAAACTACTAAGCCACTAAAAAGAGAATGAAAAAAACCAAAAACCCAGAATATACTACATCTGGAAGTTGAAAGCAGCACCTAAGAAATCTGACTTCAGTTGCAGATTTTAGAGATCAGCAGATGACACAGCTCACCCCCTCATGGGAGACAGGAAAACACAGTGGAATGTTAAGAAGCCTGACTAAGGTCACAAAGGTAATCAACCACAGATTCCAGTTTAACAGATGGGCTGAAGGCCCCCCAGCCTCTTCCAGATCAGCTTCCTAGAATACACAAGTCACTTAAGCGTCTCTGCTCAGGATGTACAAAGTATACAGAAGAGTAGTATGTTTTAGCCACTGAGCTACATTATTGGTAGAATGCTTAGCATTATCATTAGAAACATAGCAAATGCTTTATAATTATACTTTTTTATGTCTAGGTTTTTTTTTTTTTTTAAATGCTCACATTTGGTTCATTTCAGGGAAAACAACAACAACACTGATTTCTCCTTATAGAAATCCAAAGAAATCTAAACTTCTGCTTCTCCCATTATTGGCTAAGAAACTTTAGCGTCTGGGAATGCAAAACTTGACATCATTTCAAGATAAAATTTGGAGATTCCAATCAAAATTGTTAGTCAAAAGGACTTCTTTTCAAGCTATCTACTTTTCTTCTGTGGTCTATGTGGCAGAATTAAGCTATATACTTGAATGATTAAGACACCTTACTAATCTTGATACGGACTAAGAGTGACACTACCTCTTAGAAGTTAGAGTGATACCTTTGTGTATTATCTTTGCAATGTATGGTCTTCTATACATGTTAATACTTTGGAAATAGTAAAAAAGTTCCTTAACTTTTAAAATTGTACTGAAGGCAATTTTAAAATAAAGTTTGGGGGAAAAAAAAGACAGCACTGTCTAATAAAGTTTGAACCCTTATAATGGTATTAATGTGCCACTGTTCAGTATATGATGATAGAAGATGAATATTGCATGACATAAACATATCAACTGTGAAGATACGAAACCTAAGAGTGGGCATAGTCAAATTCTACAGCCTGGAAGATGGAAGTAGAATTTCCATTAGTTTGAGGCCAGTATGGGATAGTGAGTTCCAGGCCAGCCTGAAATACAGAGTGAGACCTTCTCAAAAGCATATGAATACATAAACTAAGACAAGAAGAAATGTTTGGAACTTAATGTTTGACTCTTTCGCAGTCTGGCTTATTTTTATTTATCTGTGTCAGTGCTGAGGACTAAATACTGGGCGCTGTACTTGCCTGGTCAGTACTCAGTCACTGAACTCAATCCTCAACACCACGTTGGCTTTTTAAAGAGCTCATTTGTGAGGCAAAAAAATTTTCAACTTTTCTCTCCCCTTCCCCCCAAATCCTACATAATTAAACACAGAAGGGGAAATCCCTACAACTGTTTTGTGTGCGTTAGTTTCAGATGCTACAAAATGGGAGCATGTGGAGGGTGGACGTGTGATTCTTGTGTAGATTCCTTGTCAGAGCCTAAACCCCCTTCTGTACTAATTGTGTGTACAGAGCGTTGGCTAAGCCATAAGTACTGCTTCTATAGACTGTGGCTATACAGGCCAATTGATAGTCTGGCTCTAGCCTGGGATCTCTAACTATTCAAATTATAGGCAGACTTCAAAGCATAAAGCCTTAATGAGTATGGATGAAACTGATAGTAACCTAGTCTCTTTCCAAGAGTATTCACATCTTGGACTCCAGGGAAGCGACCAGGCTACCCCGGCTATGAGCCTACCTACCTGTTGGTAGATAAGTTCCACAAGTTCTTGCAAAGCATCGTCTGTTGTGACCCATCCATTCAGGGTTTCTGCAAACTGTTCAATTTCTGTTTCAAAGCTTCCAGGCTGTTCTGTAAGATGATTCAGGAAATCCTGAACATATTCTGATAGAGTGGGATATTCCTCACAACCATCTTCATAGGATTCCTACAGTTTAAAAATTAAAACAAACAAAACCAGAATAAAACAATTTAATTCATATAACTGGCAAAAGAAGCATGCAGTGACTTTAAGTTGAAGTTTTCTCTAGCAATGAGTTTTGTTTGGGGACCTCGAATAACTTTAAAGAACAAAAACTTTAAGTGCACTCAGCTATTCCTCTCCCTTGCCTAACCTAAGTGTTTTTAAAAGAAGGTGTTCCATTAAGACTGTCTTTTTCAATCCTGTCAGACTTTACAATATGACAGAGAAAGTTTAAAGTAACTTCACTATAATAAGCAATATAAAAGGAAAGAATCTAGTTACAGATGAAATAAGACCTACTTACAAATTTACATTAAAACTTATGGGAAAAGGTGGACAAAACATATAGAAACCAAAATTGCCAACCCAGGAACGTATAGAATAGTATAGTATAGTATAGTATAGTATAGTATAGTATAGTATAGTAT